TTTCACGCCTGTCTTCTGTGTGGTCGTGGTATTACACCGGGCGTGCCGGCCTATTCGTGCTAAGATGTTAAAGCGGGCACTACCACTGTAATATAATTATGAATATGTTAAAAAGCTGTTTTAACGTAATAATATGTTTGTTTCAGATTGTGTGAGGGAGGCATTAGTGTGAGTGAGTGAGGATCATCAGGGGAGAGCGAATGATGAGCAGGTGGCGCGGCTGCAGCCCCCGGCGACATGGCCGCGCTCTCCTGCTACCAGCCCTGCCGCTCGCACCTCGCGCAGCCCGCTAGGTACGTCATCATCATCATCATCATCACTACCATTATCATGTCATCTTTATCCATGTTAATAGTTGCGCTTATCTTATCCCTGTACTATTCAATTTATCTATCTATACTATTATAATAAAGCGTAAACACACACTTCTTTGTTGCCTAAGATGTCAGCAATTACACCATATTTTTGAATATTTTTTTAATAAAAAGACCTACACTTACGTCACGATTTAGGCTATATATTTTCACGCCATTAAACTTATGGGGGTAAACATTTTGGATAAAACCCCTGATGAGGGAAAGAGACCATAAGGTACTGCCAACATCAAGAAGCAAGACAGTCAAGGTTTGTCATGTCATATCATTTTGACATTTGCTATTGATAATTTGACAAATGTAAACTATAAAATAAAATTTTCACAAATTCATGCGGGTGAAACCGCATGGGAACAGCTAGTTGTAACGTATATTGTACGCACAGATTTTAAACTGCCGAAGTTCATAATCATTCAGTAAAAGATTTAATAAGAGTAACTAGTTAGTAAATCGTTTTTACGCAAGATGGAGTAATTATTCTTAATTCTCATTGCCCCGAGATATTTTAGTAAAGACAGTCTATGGGTCGTAAAGCTGACAACTTTATGAACCCCCCACGCCTTAAATTTGCGAGAACAAGGCGAGTCTTATGCATTTTATATGTTTGTGTGTTACGCTGTTACGAGGTTTGTGTCCTGACTCTATTTTATATTGCGATTTCATGACTATCTCATTTGACTAGCGTATTTTTGTATCAAGTCACAAGGGAGCTCTTAACTTCTTTTTTTATAGTTTTATTTAACTTAGTAAGACTTTATTTGTGAGGAATTTTATAGCAGCATTTCGCTAGTTCTGGTTTATATATCTTTTAAACTATTTGTAAAAGTTTACTGCTAAAGTCGAGCTTTGCCAATTATTTGTAGGTATTCTGAAAGCCATAAAATTTATCAGAGCGTAGTAAAATACTACGGAGATGTTTACACTCGCCGTCAAATGTGACGATGTCAACATAGCCTTACGATAGTAGTTGTATAGTCTTTTTTACGCTATAACGAGTTAAAGGTTATCACCACCACCACCACCACCACCATCATCATCATCATCATCATCATCATCATCATCTTGCCCTTTTTCCTTCGGAAGGTAAACACATATTTTTCCATACATCTCCATTTGGCGTCATATCTATTGCAGGGAATCCTCCATTCTTACGTGTATCCTTTTTCACACAACCTATTTATCAGTCTTCTATAAAAGCTCGTATTACTGATGCTTCCAGGTGTCTGGACGAGGAGGATAACTCGGCAACTCTCTCGCTGCGTCGTCGTCAGTTCATCGAGCGATGTCAAGAGAGCCGTGGCGGTCGGCACCGCGACTACATCCCTGAGGTGTCGGTGAAGAGGACACGCGAGGAGCTTACCAAGCATGCGGCTGCCGCGCCTCTGACCAGACGGCTGAACGTCGATTCTTCATGGTCCAAGGTCGAAGAGGTCAGGAAGAAGTTTGAAGGAGCGACGGATACATCGTACTCGAGGTCGTTTGAATCGCCGCCGAGGTATGCATCATGACACACTAAATTAAATAATAATTTTGTATAGCCAGAGTCCTCCAGTAGTCCCTTTCCTACTATTTTCTAATAAGAAATGACCATTCATTCCCGTGAATGGAAGAAATATTTTACAGGGGAGAGGATGAGGGGGATAATCCTTTTTGTGTGCATCCACTTTTAGTAAAAAAAAATAGCGACTTTGAATATTGTTGCTGCATCATCGATTTCTATGTAGTTCGAAAAAGATGAATTGAATACAGTTAATCGTAGACAGAGTAAACAATGCAGTTAACTATCGCTTGAAAAACTCTCGCCTATTTATAACCGTTGCTCCGTGAGAAAGCGAACGTTCGAAACTATTCAATATCGCCTACAAATCTCCATAGTTCAATGAAGCGTTGGTTCACTTCACTAACTCACTTTTGCCCGGTTTCCCAGCCATGTTTAACCATTCATTAGTGATTTGGGTTCGATAAAATCATGAAGTACGTTTCCGAACTTTTTACTGCGTTGACTAACACTATTGAATCGCTAGGTAATGACAAAATAAGCGAAAACCACAGAAATCCCAGCATTAGAGTCAATAATGGTTAGTTAAAGAATCCTTATTGTAAATTCCTTTACTGGTTTAAATCTAATCTCGTAAATACGTTTCAATTTTCCACAGGCGTCGTCTAGCGGATTCCCTATTCGCCAGTTTCAAGTTACCGCGTAAGAAGGAAGGTATGGCGGCGCCACGGTCGTTGGTACCCCAGCCGCAGCAGAAGCGCAAGTCGGCGGTGGAACTGCTCGCCGAGACGAAGGCGTTTTACGTCAAATCGGAGACCGTGCTGGATAGGAAACAGGAGTTGCCTTTGAGGGTAAGTGACTGTTGTTTCTGTCTCTCTCTTACATACACACTCTCTATATCTCTCTCTTTTTCAGACGCACTTCACACTAGTGTTCTATAATGTCTGTATTCGAGATCAATTTCCGTGGGCTTAAATTGTCGAAACACTTGTATAAAATGTATTGCCATCCATCTTATTCTCTTTGAAAAAAACTGAGATGGCGATAAGTATGTCAAAACACGCATCACGGTGAACTTAGAGCGCACGCACACCTTAAACTATCCCATAACTGTTTAGTCTGGCTTTGATTCCTATGAGTTTATATGAAAGTGCGCTACTCGATTTTTATTTGTGCAAACAGTTGAATTGGCTGCGGAACAATCGACAGTCTCAAAACAGATTTGCGATAGTTTAGTCCAAGGTGTGCACCCGCTCTTAAAAGTCACGTGGGAACTACTCTAGGCCTACTATATTGAACTTCTCTATGTCTATTTGATGCTTTATATTTAAGAAATAATGTTTGCTAAATGTAACATTAGTATGTCTGATGTTGTGTATGTTTGTTGCAGGTCAGCAGCGGTCTTAGTCAGGCGATAGCGGCAGGCGGTTGTCATCTAGTCAGCTCGGGAACTCCTAATACGGATGCCTGTTGTAACCCATGTAAGTGAAAATGTATAGAAATAACAAATATAATTAACTTCTTATGAGACTGTCTAAGTCTAAGGAAATCTTGATTTTATACTATAAAATAGTAAACAAGTAAGCAACCACCTGAATTCGCTGAAATGGCGAAGCAACCTCTACCCAGACATCATCATTTGCATCTGCAAATTCCTTTCCGCATCTGCGTTGGGAACTATATAATTATGTTTTTTGTGTATTGTCAGTATTGAATCAATATTTTTTGATTGCTTCATCGTTATTTCAAGATTTTCGCCTTTTTGTATTTTTTTTATTAATGTTTTCAGATGCTACCACCCGCAGTGCGGGCGGCGCTAGGCGCGCGGTGAGCGCGGGCGAAGGTCTACAGAACACTCTCAGAAGGCTTCTAGAACATTCTGACAGCAGAGAGAATGTATATACACCGGGATATGCTATTTGTAAGTTTATTGAAGTTTTTTGTTATCTGTGGTTAGCTGTGACTTCATCTAAGTGAAATTTAAAAGTATTAAAAAGTTAGTCCATGTTACTCAGTGATAATGTAGCCTTTTAATGGTGTCAGGATTTTTGAAATCGGTCCAGTAATTTTTGAGTTATTCCAATACAAACAAAAATACAAATGTTTCCTCTTTCTAATGTGTATTTAAGATGAATTAAACGTTCAATAATATTTTTATGTCTACGTTAATAAGTAGTTAGCTTCAGATAATCGTATTTTTTACCTATATTATAAATGCGAATATATCATAACTATAAATAAATGGATGGATATCTGTTACTATCTCAAACGACTCAATCGATCATACTGAAATGTGTTAAATGTAGAAATGTCTAAAAAAACACTCAAAATATATATACTTTTTAATTCCACACGAAGAGTCGCGGGCTACAACTAGTTTGTAATTCCA